TGACCTCAATGCTTAATAAAACACTGCCCAAAGTCCATCTGGGTAAGGTTATTAAAAAAAATTGCCACTGTGAGCTTTCTCACATTACTGGTCTCAAGCCCAGATAACGGTGGAGGATTGCGGTTGGTGATAATCAACATAAATCTAGTCAATTTATGATGAATCCTCACCCCAACTTGCTTGGGCCTGAGGCGTTATTGTTCTATACCTTACTGGGCTAGGGTTTTATGCTTTCAGAAGGAAATGAGAAAAGGAAAAAGAACACACGATAGATGTTACTCTGCACAGATAATCCTTGACTTTCAGGATAATGATGTGAAACTTTCACAGTGTGGGAAAATAAGGGTAAGTTGCACGTAGGTGAAAAATATGTTGCCAAAAGAAAATAGCAAGGAGCAGATTCATGACAATGAATTAACAATTAAGATACCACACTAAGATAAATAAGCATACATAATAATGGTTACTTGATAAGGGAACATACATCAAACTGTACATGAGAGAAATGTCCCAGTAACTGTATGAAATCATTCTTTCTTTTCTTTTGGCTTTAAACGGTTCAATCATTGTCAGCGACTAGCATGTGTTTTCAATCCTAACCAAACAGTAAGTCATGCAGTTATAGCATATCGAGTAGATGGAAGCAAGGAATACAGATGTTGTCATATATTGGATGTGGTTCATTTCCCTACTGAATTTAAGAATCACCTTTCATTTCATTTTTCTATTCCTCAGAGACGTTACTGGCAACTTAAACTAACTTTCAGAACCTGCTATCAGATGAAAAATTAACAGTGTGGTACAATCCACCCTGGTTAAAAAATGTAATTATGTCATTCCATGAAGAATGAACACATTACAGATCTTTGGAGGTGATAGGTACACAACCTCTTGGTGAATCATAATTCTTTGTGTTAATTTTCTGAATGCTCTGTGATGCTTTCCTTATTAGTTGTCATGTTTTCTTCACTTCTGTATTTTATTTTTCACAACTACTTTGATTTGCTGCACTTGAGCGAGGGTCTTTCGGAAAGAGCCTCTCTACCTCCATGAGGTAAGGGTAAGGTCTTGCATATACTCTACCCTCCCCAAACCCCAACTATGGGATTACACTGGGCATGTTGTTGTTGTATAGCTATTTGTGTTCAAAGAAACGAAAATAGCAAGAGAAATAAATGCAGATGGACCCTAACATGTGAAATGAGCAATGTCCACTGACCAACCACCTGTGTTCCCACCCATAGGAAAGCCTTTAGTTAACTGCTACTGACTGCACGACTCAATAAGCACATGGAGCTTCAAACTACACGTGGGTTAATTAGGTGTCATATTGTAGTATATAAGAAGAATGTATACCAATTCCAACACGTGCTCCAATGGTTATTTCAGAGAAATCAATGTTCCATTCATCAAATGGTAACAATGGTTTGTTGAGGATCCTTGATGATTCTATCACTTTGTCCAATCTTGACATCATATCAGGACTGCCAAAAATTCCTGCTGCCTTGCCTCTGCCATAGCTCCAGCGTGGTGATGAAGGCAGGGATATTGCTTTGTCAGATGGCAAGCACTTCCTGTGAAAATGCTGTGCCTGACCTTTTTCACTATTTCCTGTATTTAGGTCATCTGAACGGAAATTTTGTACCTGGAAAGTGGTTGATATGATTAATGTCATTATTGTGTTGAGCAAATTCTATGGCTCTGATTCTATCAGTTGATCCAACCGACTCACAAACAAGTTAATAAGCATAGAAAACAAGGTCTTACAGAGTTAGAGAACCGGTTGGAAGTGGCTATAAGAAGCATAACGTGAAAAGTATTAAGCACAAATTATTGAAAGCAATATCACAAATTAAACACACTAGGAGAAATATTTAACAATCACGGCTTTGCTTCTCGGAAATTGAAGTGGATTTCCTGAAGAATGTAAGAACTGTTTTCTTAAAGAAAACTATAAGCACATGTCCTCAGCATGTTTAAGATTTTCTATTTCCTTTTATGACAATGGTGTCTGGAGAAACTTCTGTGCACCTAAAAGAATCTACCAAGCAACCTGCTACACCAACAAGCACAAGTGCTGGGTAATCCATCAAGGTTGGAGCAGATGAGCACACACTGAATGTTGCTGTCACAATTCAAACCTGGGATGTCCAATTGTTACTCCTATGCCTCAACCTCTCAGTCAACCCTTGGCAACCATGTTTAAGCTCATATAATAAGCATAGACACATTGTGTCCTTCATGACATACTAATACCTCCCAAAGGTAACTTCCTCTGCAACAAATTCGGATTTAGTTGGAGGAAGTTTGGTTTATTCTGAGATAATATTTGGGTAGATTTGTAAACTGGAGTCACTGCACCAGATTAGACCCAATTTAAGCTTAATGTGGATTGGGTTCCATCCAGGGGTAGGTTGATTGTATTAGTTGTCATATTATTTATTTCATCTTTTCAACAAAATGGAGCTTGAGGCTAATCCCATTTACGTAATGAGCATCTGCCTCAGATCCATCCAAATAAGAATTAGTCCAATTGGAATTTACTCTCCTTTCCTTAATTACAAAAGATGTAGTCAATCAAAAACATATTTTACCTAATTTAAATTTAAAGTATGTCTGGATAATAACTTCCAAATTTTAGAGTTACCTATCGAAAGGTCTTGGAAGCAAGTTTATCCAGATAATTCTAAGAAAAACAGCTAGATACCTGTGTATCCTTTTGTAAACAAGGAGTTCAAGAGAACAAACACTCACTTGATGACCAGAATTATCTTCCCCTTTCCTTGTAGACAAATCAAATGTTGCTTGTTCTGCTGAGAGATGATTTTTCTTCATAGTTGCATTCATTTCCCGAACAACCCTACATTCAAGGTCAGACAAATGCTTACGAGAAATGCAGAAAGTTGGTGTAACCTAGAAGGAAATAGGTGTTGTTTATGTATATCTCTTGCATAAGAATAGATCTGGATGGCTCATTCAGCTAAATGGAGTAAAATGGGGGCGTCTCTGTACCGCATTCATTTCCCGAACAACCCTACATTCAAGGTCAGACAAATGCTTACGAGAAATGCAGAAAGTTGGTGTAACCTAGAAGGAAATAGGTGTTGTTTATGTATATCTCTTGCATAAGAATAGATCTGGATGGCTCATTCAGCTAAATGGAGTAAAATGGGGGCGTCTCTGTACCGCATTCATTTCCCGAACAACCCTACATTCAAGGTCAGACAAATGCTTACGAGAAATGCAGAAAGTTGGTGTAACCTAGAAGGAAATAGGTGTTGTTTATGTATATCTCTTGCATAAGAATAGATCTGGATGGCTCATTCAGCTAAATGGAGTAAAATGGGGGCGTCTCTGTACCGCATTCATTTCCCGAACAACCCTACATTCAAGGTCAGACAAATGCTTACGAGAAATGCAGAAAGTTGGTGTAACCTAGAAGGAAATAGGTGCTGTTTATGTATATCTCTTGCATAAGAATAGATTTGGATGGCTCATTCAGCTAAATGGAGTAAAATGGGGGCGTCTCTGTACCGCATTCATTTCCCGAACAACCCTACATTCAAGGTCAGACAAATGCTTACGAGAAATGCAGAAAGTTGGTGTAACCTAGAAGGAAATAGGTGCTGTTTATGTATATCTCTTGCATAAGAATAGATTTGGATGGCTCATTCAGCTAAATGGAGTAAAATGGGGGCGTCTCTGTACCGCATTCATTTCCCGAACAACCCTACATTCAAGGTCAGACAAATGCTTACGAGAAATGCAGAAAGTTGGTGTAACCTAGAAGGAAATAGGTGTTGTTTATGTATATCTCTTGCATAAGAATAGATCTGGATGGCTCATTCAGCTAAATGGAGTAAAATGGGGGCGTCTCTGTACCGCATTCATTTCCCGAACAACCCTACATTCAAGGTCAGACAAATGCTTACGAGAAATGCAGAAAGTTGGTGTAACCTAGAAGGAAATAGGTGTTGTTTATGTATATCTCTTGCATAAGAATAGATCTGGATGGCTCATTCAGCTAAATGGAGTAAAATGGGGGCGTCTCTGTACCGCATTCATTTCCCGAACAACCCTACATTCAAGGTCAGACAAATGCTTACGAGAAATGCAGAAAGTTGGTGTAACCTAGAAGGAAATAGGTGTTGTTTATGTATATCTCTTGCATAAGAATAGATCTGGATGGCTCATTCAGCTAAATGGAGTAAAATGGGGGCGTCTCTGTACCGCATTCATTTCCCGAACAACCCTACATTCAAGGTCAGACAAATGCTTACGAGAAATGCAGAAAGTTGGTGTAACCTAGAAGGAAATAGGTGTTGTTTATGTATATCTCTTGCATAAGAATAGATTTGGATGGCTCATTCAGCTAAATGGAGTAAAATGGGGGCATCTCTGTACCGCTTATAAATTTTGCTAGAAGATTCTGCAACCCTGTGGTGCATTTATTGTGGTGCCAAAACGGACACTATTAAAGCGATTGAGGTGGTTGTCAGTTTTCTTTAAAGGTAGTTGTCGCTTTATAGTCATTTTATCTCTCAAGCTATTCTTGTCAAAATTGAGACGTCTTTTTTGTCATGTCATTCCATGAGTTGTCAAAACTAGTTGTACAGCTCACAGTGGAAATACAAGATGTCAAAACAATTCGATCTAGCTACATCCTCATTTGGAAAAATCTTAGCATTGTATGTATAAAAATGATGATAAACCTCTGCTATAACTATTATTCCACATAACTTGCGTAAGCGACATATAATAGCCGTTCTCTCAATTTTTACTTGTCCACTATACTAAAAATAGATATCAATTTTTACTTGTCCAGTTTAGAAAATCAAGTAATAATTTATCATTCAGTTCCTAATTATCCTTATTATAAACTAAATCGTTTCCCTATGCATTTTTCAAACACATTGAATTAATTGTATTCAAAGGGTAATATATAAAATTTTCATTCTATTTATTGCTCTTTAAGGGGTGTTTCAAGTCAATACTGGACAAGTAAAAATGGATGAAGGGAGTAAGTATATACTCATTTGGAGCTAAGTATTGAAAATTGTCTTTTTAAGAGAATGTGAAACTATTTTGCTAGGGAGAAAAGGAAATGGAGGATAAAAGAAGAAGAAGAAAGGAGGTGACTGAGCTAAAGGTAATGCTCTCTCCGTCTCAATTTATGTGATGTTTTTTGACTTGGCATGGAGTTAAAGAAAGAAAGACCTTTGAAGTTTGTGGCCTAAAACAAGTCATAGATGTTTGTGTAAATCATCTCATTAAGGGGAAAATGGGCATTTTAAAGTTAAATTGTTACCAAATATAGAAATGTGTCATTTTTTTTGGGACTGACCAAAAAGGAAAGTGTGTCACATAAATTGGGACAGAGGAAGTAGGAGGTTTAGTTAGAGACAAAGGGGCATGGTCAACCTTACAATGTCATCACCAATCTCCGGAATCATGCTAATGGACCTCCGTCTTCTTCTACGAGTGTGTATAGGTGATGCACCAGCAGACCTGCAGTCAGTTCAATTCATGTGTCATGTTATGATGCTAAGCCATGAAATGCGGACAACACTTTCAGAGAACTTCTGCCACTCCGGAAAGAGACAGGAGTAAGCATAATGGCAAAGAAGCATAAAGTTAACAAATCATCCTCAGCAGAATAAGAACGTTGAATCATTTTTTTGAATAAAAACATTGGATTGTTTGTGCATTTCCCCATGAAATAACAGAGATCGGGGATAATCGATAAGAAGCAAAATCTTCATGCTCTTGACACAGTTCAAAGAGTAAGAAGCCGAAGTGTATAAGGTACACCTTTCGTATACATTGCAGCCAAACAACCACAACAACACACCTCAAATACATATGAACTCCTAGTTCACTAAGGAAAAATAAAACAGCTCCACCTGTCAATGGATCATGCCACTATCAGTTCTCGTTTCAAGCATGATCTGTCGGGTTGAATATATTACATGACCAGGCAACTGCCTAAAAATAAAATTCTGTCTTTTTCTTTGATGACTAAAATACAAACCTCTATTATGGATCCTGAAGTGCTCAAGGAACCTTTTAGATACATAACACAGCAATTAACCATAACACACCTCAAATATATTATACATATGAACCCTCCAACTTCACTGGGGGAAATGTAAAACAGCTACGCCCCTCAATGTACAACAATTCACAGATCATGCCTACATATCACTTCTTGGTTCAACCATGATTTGTATGGTTGAGAATATTATGCTACCAAGGCAGTATAATGACAAATTTGACTTAACAGAGAATCAGAGAATAGGAAAACAATTATACAGCCAGATTGTAACACTTAGAAAGCAAAATGCTATATTTGATGCAATTTGATAGTTTATAATTATTAGATGTTTGATCTTTAAACAAGAAAAAGTACAATGAAAGGGAAAAACAGCATATAGACAGACACAAGATTTATTAACATTACTGACAAATAGATGTGGTGACAAAAAGGAAAGGAAGGCTCTGATACTAAATTGATGTAGCACCTATAATGAAGCAGAGAGAAAGGCAGGGGGGAGAAATGAGAAAGGGAAAAAGAGAGAAATAAAGAAAGAAAGAGAGTCTGAATGAGAGAAAATAAGGGAGAAGGAAGTAGAAGATATAGAAATTTTAACCAAATTTAGCAAAACAAAAACATAAGGGTGTAGGATAAGGAGTTTAAGTAGAACTCTTGAAATTACTAGACCTCTCTCTTTAACTAGAAAAAGGAGACCTTTTATTCAACTAGAAGATAAATATTTCTCTAATACTTAAAAAGAAATTAGTTTGATAAGATAAATAAAAATCAAAGATACAGATAGTATAATCAATCATTTGTTAAGCTACATAATTCTCCACCAATTAATTAAGCTCGATCCCGATGAGTGAAACTGTTGGTGCAACTCCCAAAGGACCTTCTTGAAATACTAACTGAAGAAGACGAACAGATCCATCAACTAATGGCAGGAATAACAACGATTGATGCTAAAAAGTACAGTAGTGTGATGAATCAAACTTTATCAATGATAGATGCTAAGAGTACAGTATTGTGATAAATCAAACTTCAAACCTCAGCTTTGACACAAAATCAAAGTACCAGCAACGGGGACGAGATCAAAGCAAGAGGAGGAAATGAGAAAGGGGTGAAAGCGAGGAGAATAAGAGGGACATGAAGAAAGGGAGAAAGATTGGTTGAGAGGAAAATAGAAAGATGGAGAGGAAGGAAAGAAGGAGATCTGAGAAGCGAGCCTGAAAAAGAGGATAATAGAAAGAGAAATTGTAATGCCAAATCAATTTTGCAAAACATAATTGAAGCCTCCAAACAAGTTAGTTAGAGTTCTAGTTTTAGGTTGAGAATTCTAAACAAATCATAACATTTGAAACTAGAACTCAATTAGCTAAGAAGATAAGATAACATAATACTGTGACTGTAACTAAAAGATAAGATCTAAGTAAAACAGAAAGATAAATAAAACGAAAGGCTATTTTTCTGTAATTGTTTCTTGAGCTACTTCACTTATTATTCCAATCATTTAGATTAAAACAAAACTGGAACAGGATACTTTCATCAGGTCAATATCTTTAAGACCAACTAGAAGACTGAAGCCGTTAAATGACAAAGGAAATGTATGTTCCTTCAAACTATGACAATTTCAGATAACTATTAATCTAAAGATATAAGAAATGGTAGAGTTTGAACCTTGAAGAAGTAACGTCATAGTTGCAGTCCTTGAAAGACTGTGCACGACCACCAAGAATAGACCTCCCAGGTCCCCTGAAGAAAGGATGCTCTGGACTGAAAAAAGGATTTCAAGTTTAAGTATCAACAGAAAACCTAAAACTCTAACAGCCAACATAAACTCATGTAACTGCGAAGTAAAAAGATTGCTTTATAACAAAATTTGGAAAAGTTTAAACATCCTGAGATATAAAATAAACATCTTTGTTTTTACGAACTCGCAACAGTCTTACGATAAAATTTGAGAGCATGTTGAAACTTGCAAATAATGAAATAACTAACAGTAATTCTGACAAATCAGAAGTATGAAATAGGACTACTTTTATATGATAGAGATACATGGTTACAATATATGGGGAGATCCACTTTTACCCACAGATTATTGAACCTGCTGTAGGAACATAGAGAAATACACACAGCTTTCAGACTAAAATATAGGATCAACCAAGACGCCGACTCCAAATGTAAATATTTTATTTTTATGATATAGTTAATATTTTAAAAACAATTGAAGGTAGTGATGACTCTATGTTTCTCTAAAGAAAAAGAACACAAAAAAATTAATCAGCCCAAACTACATAGACCTATCTCACAAAACCCTTTAAGTTAATCCATAGTGATGTTTGGGGACTTCTAGGGTGGCAACTGTAAATGGAAAAGGTGGTTTGTGAGTTTCATAGATGATCACACTAGACTAACTTGGGTGTACTTATTAAAAGAGAAAAGTGAAGTAAAACATATATTTGAGGCTTTTTATGTTATGGTCGAAACACAACTTCATGAGAAGATTCAAAAATTTCGGAGTGATAATGGGAGAGAGTATTTTCATGTCCTAATACACCCCAACAAAATGGAGTAGCTGAGAGAAAAAATAGGCATCTTATGGAGGTAACTAGAGCCCTAATATTCATAAGTGGAGTCCCTAAATTTCTTTGGGAAAATTTGACATCCACTTATCTTATTAATAGGATGCCTTCCTGTGTTCTAGATTTTAAAACCCCTTTTAGTATGTTCAAGACATACTTTCCTACTTCTAGATTGACCACTGATCTACCTTTGAGAGTCTTTGGGTGTAGTGTATTTTTTCATGTTCATGATCATAATAGGAGTAAACTTGATCCACGTGCTAAAAAATGTGTTTTTGTTGGCTATGCCCCTAGTCAAAAGGGATACAAGTGTTATGACCCAAATACTAGGAAGGTTATTGTCACAATGGATGCCACCTTTTTTGAATCTCAATTATTTTTTGGAACTCATCTTCAGAAACATAGTGAAGATTCAATAGATAGTAAGGATTCTCGCGACCTCACATGCGAGAAACAAAAGGATCTACCTTTTATGATAGATACGGGAAATAGTATTTTTGGTAGTAACAACCTTGATAAGGTAAGAGATCCCAACTTATATAATGAAAATAAGGAAACTGAGACAGTAGAGTCTTTTCATGATACAATTAATGAAAAGGACATGGAGCAAACAAAGGAATTGCAAGTTTACATGAGAAGAAACCGAAATCAAGAAAAAGAGACTAAGGCGCTCAGCAGAACCAAAATTCCACTCCGCAAGATCTTACTGATATACAAGGTAATTCTCCAGAATCTAATTATGATTTGCCCCTTGTTATTTTAGACCTTGATCTTCCAATTGCCAAACATAAAGGAGTAAGAAAAGTCACAAACCATCCCATGTCAATTTTTTTGTCATATAGAAACTTGTCTCCTTCCTATATAGCTTTTCTTTCTCAATTATCTGGAATGGAGATAACAAGAAATGTGCAGGATGCTTTGAATGTTCCCGAGTGGAAAGAGGCAATTCTAGAGGAGATGAATGCTCTTAAGAGAAATGAAACCTGGGAAATGGTGGAACTACCACGTGGAAAGAAGACGGTGGGTTGCAAGTGGGTGTTTACCATCAAATTTAAATCAAATGGGTCCTTGGAGAGGTATAAGGCACGTTTGGTAGCAAAAGGGTTCATTCAGACCTATGGAATTGACTATCTTGAGACATTCGCTCTAGTTGCCAAGTTGAATTCAATCAGGGTTCTTCTGACCATTGCTGCCAATCTTGATTGACCCCTTCAACAACTAGATGTGAAAAATGCATTCTTGAATGGAAAACTCGAAGAAGAAGTCTACATGGATCCTCCTCCGGGTTTTGAAGAAAGGTATGGAACTAGAGTGTGCAAGCTAAAGAAATCTCTCTACAGGCTCAAACAATCTCCAAGAGCTTGGTTTGAGAGATTTACTCAGTTTGTAAAAAAACAAGAGTACACTCAAGGGCAAGCAGATCACACCATGTTCATTCGACACTCTCTTGAGGGAAAGACAACTATCCTGATAGTGTATGTTGATGATATTATACTTACAGGAGATGACTTGCCCGAAATGAAGAATTTAAAGGCACAGTTGGCCTCGGAATTCGAGATCAAAGATTTAGGTCAGTTGAAATATTTTCTTGGCATGGAAGTAGCAAGATCAAAAGAAGGCATTATGGTGTCACAAAGGAAGTATGTACTAGATCTTCTAAAAGAGACCGGCATGAGTGGTTGTCGTCCAGTTGAAACACCTATTGATCCGAATATTAAATTTGGAAACAAAGAAGGAAATGCAGTTGACCAAAGTCAATATCAGAGACTAGTGGGGAAGTTGATCTACTTATCACACACTCGACCTGATATAGCTTTTGTTGTAAGCTTAGTGAGTCAATTTATGCACTCTCCAAAAGAAGAGCACCAAGAAGCGGTCTACAGGATTCTAAGATATCTGAAAAGTTCACCAGGGAAAGGATTGTTTTTCAGAAAAGGTCAAGATAGAGGCATTGAAAGCTTTACAGATGCAGATTGGGCAGGTTCTACTATTGATAAGATGTCTACATCAGGATATTGTACTTTTATCTGGGAAATCTCGTGACTTGGAGGAGTAAAAAGAAGAATGTTGTAGCTCGTAGCAGTGCTGAAGCTGAATACCGATCTATGGCCCACGGGATCTGTGAAATGATTTGGCTCAAGAAGATGATGGAAGAACTAAAAAAGTTGTTTGTGTTACCAATGAAGTTGTACTGTGACAACAAAGCCGACATAAGTATTGCTCACAAGCCAGGTCAACATGACAGAACAAAGCATGTTAAAGTGGATAGGCACTTCATAAAAGAGAAGATTGAAGAAGGGAACGTGTGCATGCCTTTCGTCACAACAAATCAGCAAATTGCGGATATTTTCACGAAAGGCTTGTTTAAACCAAAGTTTGAAAATCTTGTAAGCAAGTTAGGCATGACAGATATTTACATGCCAACTTGAGGGGGAGTGTTGATTTGTAAATATCTAAAGTGTTATCAGATATGATTTTATAGGATTTAAATTGATCCTATAAAATCATATCTGATTTGCTATTGAATAGGTTAGGATATTAGATCAATAAAATCATCCCTTGATTCTCAAATCTGCCAGAATCAAGGGATCTGATAGCTAGTTAGTCAGTTTTCTATACTATAAATATGTATCTCTATGGATGAATAAGATTGTACAATTTTGGTACCAAAACTTACATCTAGGTATATAACTAGGTAATCATCTAGCAGTGTATCAGTAGGTTGCAACTGAATATGCAACTTTTAGAGGTCTATGCCTCCTGGTTCAGCCCTATAAATTTTATATTCCAAACCTGAATGAAGAAATCTCTTCTTCTAATTATTTATTAATTTATTTGGTAAACTGACCAACAAGCATAAAAGGAAGAAGTCATTAGAAATGGGAACAGAAAAGAAAAAGGCCAAATCCCAACCGGAGCTCAAAAGCTGCATGGAGTCCACCTCTCTTTAATTTCTCTTTCTGGAGAAACCCAAAAAACTTATAGTTCCTAACCTTTATAAGTAAAAACATTAATAATAACTAAATAAAATAAATATCAATCAATTCAACTGATATCTATCATAAGAATACTTTAACTCTCTTTCATTTTAAACTAATTACAAGGTTTCACAGGATAGGATCTTTTGGGATTGTTTGTATTTACAGATTGGATCAAATTAATCAGAGGATTAGTTGCAGAGACTTCATCTCATTGAAAACAGTCCCTTTAGTTAATTCCATGACCAAATTAAGTTTCAAGTTGTAAGACCCTCATCGCTTGCATTCGAAACAGAACTCATATTCCTTAGTGTATCTCTCAGGAGACATGAAATAGATCATCTTCTAAAGAAGAGGATAATGATCATCGGCATGCAAAAACAATTACATCAGAAAGCAATTGGGAGTTGAATCTCTAACTTCAGCTACTTAATCTGGATAAGTTAGACTTAGGATTCTCTGTATCTTAAGTCCTGGAAGGCTATAAGACAAACTGAACCTTGAACTTGAGGCCCTCTGTTCAGATACAACTTTGTTCCTTCCATGCCAAAGTGAACTTTTGACATCGGGCTGACTGTGTGATACGCTGAAGAAAGTGAATAACACATCAGAAAACACAAGGCAGTACTCAAAGGAACAATGAGAGTAATTTGTTCCTTGTAAAATCTAGGAAAATTAAGGAAGATGAAGAAGACTGGACAGAATATAAAGATGTTTATCCATACAGAGTTTTGAAAGCAACTGCATTATTACTCAAACTTTCCTCATCATCGAACTGCAGCTATATGCTTGTCACAGATGGGCCAAATAAAGTCATTGGGATTCATCCAGCTTATGCCGATACAAGGACTGCCTTTTCACATGCATAAGTGAAACGAAATCAAAATTCTAATTTATTCTTTTAATGAAAAAGTTTTATCTTTATTGTTAGTAGTTATGTCCAACTTCCTAACTTCCTATGTCCTAATTCATGTGTGATATGACTTTGATGGAAAATATTGACAAACTTTAGACTGATACTTGATCCATAGGTGCCAAACTTCAATGGCTGAAAACTAATGCTATGCATGTGTTACATCACATAAGTTTTAGATGCCAAAGACTAAAATAGAACAGAAGTCTATTGGTCAACAACTTAAAACATGAAAGCCAGACTAGAACAGTTAGTTGATTCTGAATGGGTTATAAACAGTACCACAAGATGTTGAGTGTTCCCTATCGGAAGTCAAGAGAATAATAAAAGGAATTGTCCACAAAATTCTTGATGACTATGGCATAGCAATTTGAAATCACTAGAATTAGGAAACTCTCCATATTTTACACTAGGTGTGTTTGTGGGATTACACTGGGTATGATGTTGTTGTTTTCCTTATGTCAGTAGCTCAAACTTCTATACAAAAGCTCTCATATTACTTATATGTTGTTAACTACTAATTTTAACAAGAGTTTCTCTTCTCTTCTCTTCTCTTCTCTTCTACAAGTTTCAGTGCCTCTACATTCTTGGTAGGGATTAAGTAGCTTTTGCTTACCAGTAGGTTGTCTAACAACATCTACCGAGACAAAAAATTATGCATTCCCATTGTTTACTATTCCTGCCTCTTATAGATGATAATTTCGACAGCACTGGACCTCTTTCAATGATTGTTAACAGCAATACAGAGCCTCTCTTTGGTGACTGACTCGACGTCTCCGCCCATCTTTCTGATGACGCTCTGGCAGAATCATGCCTATTCTGCCAGAATTATGGCTGTTCTTCTAGAAAGTTGTAACGCTCACATGCGTGTACCAGTAACAAAAAGACCAAGGTGACATTTAGGAAGTACAGACACCCACTTTTCCCAGGATGAGCCTCTGCCAGTAATTTTTCTGGTGACAAGGTGCCTTGACGTCTGAGATTTGGGGACGAGCCAGCAGTGACGAATTGAGAAGTCTATCTTCATGCATGTAATTTAGTTTACAATCCTATAATGCCCCTAATTACATAATTATTTCGGGAGCATTTCCCTACTTGCAATATAGATATCCTTGCCATATTTATGAATTCGTAACAGTTCGGGAGAATATAATAGAGAAAAGTAGCAAATTTTACGTTTACCGGAAGTGGACAAGGACAACTGAGATAGGCCTAGAACTATCTTTCTGGACTGACGAATAACTAAAAACTCTAAATGGTGCCCACATTACAGGAGTTTAATTTTCACCAATCACCAGCATAAGAACATTAACTTTGGCCCACATTCTTTCCAACTAACATTAGGTAATATAAATGTCATTTTATTTAAAATGGTTAGTGTGTACTCATCAAAAAAATAACACACACACACACACATATATATATATAAATCATGTCAGGTCAACCAGAACAATTAGTTTGAAAGAAAGGGATAAAAAATTTGCATTCTAAACAAATATCATGCAAACTAGCCTCCCCAAGCTTTATACCCTTACCTTCCAGTGCCACTGTAGTCGGAACTGAAACAGGTAGGACTAATGGGATCCATCGGTGAGTTACATGAATCAGTTTCTACAGAATCACTCTCACCAAAGAAATGTGAGCGATGTAGCTGCTTCGTTGAACAAGGAAACAGCTTGCCGGGATAATGCATAAGGTCAACCAGTAGTTCTATAGAATCCAGAATGACTGTGACACAGATGTGCTTAGATGAATCTGCGCACTCCAGCGCTCCTCCTCTTGGGAAACCCTAATATTAGTTAGAAGATAAAATGGAGGGAATTGAAAGAAGAAATAGGGGTTGGGAAGAAGAGAAGAAACTCCAGAATGATTGTGCATCGAATGGAAGCTTGAAAATTCAACTGAATGCAATTTACTTAAAACACAAAAGATGGAAAAGAACCTTTTTTTTCCAATTACTGAAAGCAGACTGACATTTTGCAAGAGAAATAAAAAGCTCACCACAATCAGCTTGCACTCAAGGCCCACAGTATCAGCAAGAACTTTGAATAAGATTGCTCGAGAATGGCAGGAACCATCCTTTATTTGGCACAGCATGTGGATTCCTTGACTACCCAAAGCATGTGAGACTTCCTCAAGTGTACCACTCACATGAGTGGACTTGTACTTAGGATGCTTATAGAAATCACAAACCTAACCACAGTGTATGCTGTCAGACTAAAACCACACAATCTCAGGAAAACAGAGTTTTCGGCTAAATACGCTAGCAGTTAAGTCATCTTTTAATTTAGAAAACTTAATTCACAGTTACACAATAAGCATATGTCATACAGAATTATGGGTTATATCAAGACTAGTTTTTTCCCTGCATGATAGTCCTAGATGGCTTCATGCATTAAAGGACTGCCAAATTCATATGATGCATTTAGAAAAGTGAAACAGATAACAAAAACTGAATGAAAAATAATTAATCAGAAAAAAATCATTTTGATAACAAATCTTGGGCTCATCTTTTTCTTTTCCGGTATCACATAGTTCCACAAAATTATATGGAAATTAAAATTGAAAAGGCCATATGGATATTGTTGTTTCTAGAGGAATAATTGGTTCAAGAAACTAGGAAAACTTTTGAAAAAAATTCAAGAATACGTAGAAACTACATACTTCCTTAGAAATAATTTGTTGAGAACTTTTAAGTTTGTTGAACTCTTACATTTGAGAAACCTTAATTTGTATTTGAGAGAAGATGGTAATGTAGTTTCAGTTTCCTTTTCAACTCTGCAAAATATAATAAATATTATACATATATTCTGATTACAGCTTAATCTTATTTATGCAATATTCTGATAACAGCTTAATCTTATATATGCATTATTGTTGCCAACACTACTGGAAAATGTAAAAGAAAAGTTATCATGCCTTCTAATAGTAAAAGGAAACTAACAAGAACTAAACCCCAGTATAAACAACAGAATAATAGATGACGCACCAACCCTGCAATCTTCTTCACAACTACAGCTGGAGTCGAACTCAATCCTTTCACTAAAGTGAGAGTGAGCTGTTTTAACATGGAAAGCTTCTTATCTTTATGCATATTGACAAGAATAACATTAGGTCGAAGACCCTCTGTCTCCAAAGCATAAAGGTCATCCAAAGATGGAATAGTATCGAATAGCTCCTTGAATCTTCTTTCCTGCAGAAATTCAAGAATTAGAACAATATTGAGTTGACAAGATCCCACCCAGAAAAGAACCAAAGCAAACAAAAGGTACATATTCAGAATGTCATGTTAGCAACATAATTGACCCAAAAAAAAAATAGTGTGCTACACTAAAAACATATGATTCAATTTCTCATCTCTCCATATTAAGAGAATTCATCCAAGTGAAGAAGGAGAAGAATCCAAGACCACACAAAACTATGTTCTACTCACTGGAATAACAAAGTAGAAACCATCAGGAATAGGCTCTGCAAGTTCCCCTGTGTCCCACAGAATCTGAGACGCTCTCTTTGATGCTAAGCCCTCTCGCTCCTGTTTGCTGCTCAATACAGTACAGTTTGCTTTATCTTCGGAAGAAACCAGAGTGATCAACTGCAATTTGTCGGAAATATCTGCTGGCCACCAAGGAGAATCGGGAGGCAGAGCCTCTGCTGGCCCGGTATCATTTCCTGTCTTTTCCATCTCCTCAAAGATTCAAAATTCTATATCATGTTCAGCAAATTGTGACCCGTAACTGATAACTGTACACGAATCCAATATATCTCCAAGAAAAATTTCAGACAAGCTCTACGAGATGTCCTGGTAAAAGCATGACAACAAAATGTAATTAATTTTACAGTTAATGAAGTGCACGCCTTGTTTTCCAGAAAGATGCTGAAGTAAATAACTGGAACTAATATACATTTGAAGTATCTACCTGTGGTTGACACCTTGAAACTTGTTGCACATGTTATTTGGCCAAGCATTCATACAGATTTGACTTGTTATCTCATTTAAAGAGAAATGAATCTAGAAATTAGTTTTGTGCATCTTTTTGGTTCACAGCTTAGAAGAACTTTTGGAGTTGAAGAATAGTTAGTACGAGATAAACTGTGAAAAGAATATCATTGCATAATCAGTGTTTAACTACTGGAAACAAATATCTTAACGATTGCCCCCAAGGCCTAGCTCAAGTGGCAAAAGGTGGAGGATTTGTGGCTTAGGTCACAGGTTCAAGCCCCACACCATGCAAAGCAAAGCCCGGTATTTAAGTGGAGAAGGGTAGAGGGGCGGGCCCATTATCCACCGAGTTAAGAAGCCTGTGATTGGTCCAAAGGGCGGGTCACAGACGGATTTCTCGGTTATCAAAAAAAAAATAACTGGAAATTGATTTGGTGTATTGCTCGCATTTTAAGAAAATTTACTAGTCACTGAGAAGAGGCTGAATCTGTTAGATCCCGCATCAATTGGGGATTTAAAAATGGGTCTTCTTATATGGTTGTGAGAAATATAAGAGAAAAATATTATTGAATTGTGTATCTACATTATTGCACTAAAAACCCTATTTATAGACACTATATGACAACCATTCCAAGTAGGATTCTATATACTATTTTTGTTCTTATTCCTATTCTAACACTCCCCTCAAGCGGGTGCATAAAAGTCATATGTACCCAGCTTGTAACAAATGTAATTGATACAAGGGCTAGTGAGGAACTTGGTGATGATAAATGTCGGTTGATCACTCGACTTCACGAATTTTGTAACAATAACTCCTAAGAGTATCTTTTCACTGACAAAGTGAAAGTCAGTCACAATGTGATGAAATACTGGATTTTGATGCGATATGAAGGGCCGCTTGACTATCACACACAAGTTTCATCTGATCGATTTCTCACAAATTCTCCCCCCTAAACAAAACTCTAAAAGCTCTTAGAACTACATTGTGGATGCTACCAAATTAGAACGAATGAGCTTCTATTTATAGAGTCATAAATCATTTCTTAGAAGAGAAAAGACTAGCCAAATATGGAAAAATTGTGTTTTTATTGTTGGAAAAGGAAAACTCAATTATGGTAAGAAAATCAGGGCAAACACCCAACAATTCTCCCCCTTGGCCTGCCTGAGTTTCTGACAAATTAAATTTGCTCCAGGTTTATCCCAATTTCTTGGTTTACCATTTGTGTCTCCATATTATATCGTCTAAGCTTCAAATATCCAATCCTACCCATGCGAGCAGGCTAAGACCATTTTTTTATTAGTATCAAAGGGATGGAACTTGGTCCAGAGTCTAGTTTTCACTTTTGATGAAGTTCAGTGTCAAGTTTTCATATCCAATAACATTCATACCTATTCGACTGACAAATTATGCAAGCAAACCAAATCTGAGGAAAACATAAAATAGAAACGTCCAAAAGCATAGCCAGATACTTGAGATAAAATAATAAAAAACATAGCCCAGAGTCACAATAAAAGCAGTTGCAAACTGATTGTGTTAGGCTAGTTTTTTGATTCCTCTTTCAAGTTAACTCTGACTTTCCAGACTACATGAGACACCAGTAGAAATCAAAATAGTAAGAAACTGAACCATATTGGGCAAAAACAACGAAATGAGCGTACAACTGAGCCTGGGTCATTTGTACTTCTCTTTTTGACAATGGTAACAGTAGGGTCAATTGTACATTTCTAGCTTTAAGAAAAGGAGACATTTCAAACAAGACAGTAACTAACTAGGTAAAACTGAAGCATTGTGCATAAATTAGATAACAGTTTTCTCCATGGACAAAATATTGCAAGTCCAAATGTACAACAAAAATTTCCCTCTTTTTTCCAGCAAAAAAGTGCATTAATTTTTTGTTCCCTTCCTCAAAAAAATATGTGAGATCAGGCCTCCCTCACTAAGAAGATATTCCTCTGAACTTTGGGTCAAAAACACATAAAGGGATAGAAAATATATTGGAGTTCTTTTTACAGAATTTTGTATTTACATATTCGGATAACCTCCATTCTGGGCTAATTGTGCATAGCTCTTGCAACTTGCAAGCCTCTTTTGAATGAGATCAACATCCAAAACCAGATATTGGACTGAAAGGTCATTGAAATGTGCTGGTAGATTCCAGGAACTGATCTGATTATTTAAATGTGGGCTTTCTGCCCCCACAACTTCATGTTGCCTAGAATTCTAATAAAATGAAGCAGTCGATGCGATCATTCCTAGGGGAAGGTCCTGATACAAAGCACATGGAAACAAAAATGGACTGTGAGTATGTGTGTCCATGACAAGGGAGGTAAGTTAACTTCTTTAAAACTATTATGAAGATATCTGAATATTTTGAGCAAAAGCTACTTTTACTTGTTAACAAAAATCTCTGGTCAGTAAACATCTCTCAGGACTGCCCATGGATTTGGGAAAAGTATTTGCGCTCATTTCTGCAGCAAGGAATTAGATAAAAACAAGAAATGAAAATGATTATCGAGCTTCCCTTTGATTTAAGCCCAACTATCCTCATCCCCAGATATGTGAATTTCCCGGGTAAGTGCTTTGAGTTCAACTAGGAAATTTACCAGTGATACAATCGACATTGTTATTTTTAAGAGCTGAACGGCTGCTGCCTCGAGCAGAAGTTGTACAGGGACTTATTTTGAAATGGTCCACTAGTTTAATTTTCTTTATTCTGGCACAAACACTCTAAGCTTTGATTTATATGACCAAGGCCACTATCAACTTCCTTAAGAGTCCACTGTCTTTATCTTTCTACTCATGCTAATCTTGAGTGGCACATGTTTCTATCAATCCTAAAGAAAGAATGTCCTGCTACTTTAATCATTTCTTCTTCTTCATTTTTATCAGAAGGATAGGACTTAGGAGAGAAAAAAGATTAATTATATCACCCTACTTCATTCTTTCCATCAGCTGACTACTCAAAATTCAGGCTTTCAGCATCCCAGTATGAAATATCAAAATTCACTTTGACATCACCATGCTAACCACGCCTCTAATTTTCTTTGACCATTAAGTTTCACCTTTTATAGTAACAACACAGCAGAACCCCAGAAAACATCTGCCATGCCTTTCCATCCAACAAATCAATATTTTCAGCCCTAAAACAGCCTGAGCAATTCCACTGCCTTTAATGAGTGATTCCATCGTCCTAATGCAGTAAAACTCTGAACTTTACAGGTGCAACTGTCTCGAGCTAAGACACCATGTCTTTCATCTCATTCCAAGACTAACTTAAGCAAAAACAGCCATAGATTAATTATCTGCAAGGATAACTCGAGCAATATAGTAAAATCTTTGACTTTAATATTGTATTTCCTAAATAGAAAAATAACCCCAACCCATCCCTCATACAGAATGTCCATCAAGGTGTAACAGCTCAGCCCACTAGTATATTGTCCACTCTGACCCTAGACCCCAAGGATTTAAAACGCGTCACTAGGGTGAACGGCCTACTTACTTATACACCCAGCAGCTCTTCCGCGCTTCTCCAACGTGGGACTCTTATCCTAAGCTAGGCCGTCACACGAGGGACGCTCAGAGTTACTCCATCCAAAGATTGGCAATAAAAAAAAAACAAATACTCCTTTAACACAGCTAATCCAATAGAAAAGAACTCAGCTTGTAAAGATTTGGATGACTATAACCCCAACAAAAGGGTTAGTAATTAGATTGCAGCAAAAAATTGAAACTTGATCACATAAAACTCCAATGCTGCAAATTTGGTAATGGCCCAAGTAAGAAAAAACAATCATATTGTTACTTGTCATAAACCAAAAACCCCATATAGCATTATACTCAATATCACCAAATCCGAAAGCTATAAAAGCTAAACAATAGTAAAGAAGGGTACCCAGATGAAAAATACTGTATTACCTAGTATTGAAGGACGAGAAGTGTTGAATGGTTCTTGAAATCATACCATCTGAATCTGAATAGAGCTGACTTTGCTTTTGTAATTCGTTATTTATTTCCGAATCTGAATCTGTGTGATTATAAAATAGTATTTGTGATTTGAGAGAAGGGGTTTGTCGGGATTGAGGAAAGGGTTAGTTTGGCAATGGCTATGGCAATTTCCACTACACTTCCGGCCATTCCTCTTCTTCTGCTTCACTTCTACCACTTTTCGGATCTCGTTATAACTGTCACTCATTCAATCTCATTATTTCTAATTAATGCATTGTCCCTATTTTCTACAATATCAAACACATTAATTAAAAGTTAAATATTCTTAATCATATTTTACAAACAATTTTTTAGTAAATTTGATGGTGCATTACATATGTCTTATTTAATGAAAATTTATGGATCAAAGCATTTTTAATTTATGACCTTTACTTTTGTAAGATAAAAGTATAGTGGGTCCTAAAACTGATTTATACGTGTATCAATATAAATTTTATGTTGATGTATTCATCATTTCAAAGTTCGACCGTAAATGTATATAACTTCAATAGTTGGCCAAAAAAATTTAAAATCATAAAAACACTTATGTCATGCAAGAATTCACAAATCAAATAACTTCGGTCTAATAATGTAGCAAAAAAATAAGAAATCGTAACGGAAAACATCGAGATGTTAATAATTCTACAAAATTATTATCTTGTCTTGATCCAAACTAGCGACCCTTAGCAAGATAATATTTACTAAATAAATGACATATATTATCAAATTCAATTAATTTTCATTATCCACAAAATATATAGAAAATGTATTTGAAATTTTATGATTAATTGTTTAACTTTATATATCTAAAACATTAAAGGCACAATCATCCAGAATACAACGTACCCCGTGTTATTTCACATATATATGCAGGGGTGTTAACATTAAATCATAAAAATATAATTCATCTTATTTAGCTTTATGAATTATTCGTCAAACTATCTTTTAACAAAATATATTTTCATTTGCTACGTTATGCATAATTATAATAAAGAAAAAAATTAAATACTAAAATAATTACATACATAATGAATAAATTAACTACAACTTAATAAAAATTAATCATTTGAGTTATAAGTCACTTTCTAGCTCAATTCATTTCAGCTGAAATAATTATAATTTATCTAAATTCAATTTAATCCACCTATTTAACATCCTTATTTTTATATGTTTTTCCTTTCTTAGTTGTCAAGTAGCTTGCTATATTTATTAGTCAGTGTAATGCTTAGGGGTACAACGTGATCGTGCCGCGTACGATTATTTTTTTTTTCTTTCTTTTTTTAATTAAAGAAGAAGTTGGACTCAGGGCGGAGCCCGCCTTTTGTTAGGGTTCATCCGAACCCCTTCGGCAGAAAATATTACTTTTTATATATGATTAAAAAAAAATCATGTATATATAATAGATGTAGAATCCCCTTCGATTAGTTGTTGTGTTTAGTTATTCAAATTTTGAACCTCCTTATTAAAAATCTTAGTTCCTCCACTAGACTTGACCGTGGCATAATTTCCATTTTAAACTTTAAATTTAGAACCAACACAAATTTATGATGAATTTTAGTAGAAAGGTGATTGCTTATTTAAAATTTTCACCTACGTAAGTTTGATTTACTGACATCTTAATTCTCTTTTAAATCTCTTTTTTTCTACCATTAATTTTTTTATCTTTTTTCTTTAAAAAAGAAGAAGAAGAAAAGAAACAGTAGTACAAATTTGTAAAAAGTATAAAGAATTTTGTTCCTACGTCATCCACTCAAAGGAGAACGAATTCTTTCTTGAAATTATTACTATAGTAGTACTTTTTTTATATTATGACAAAACAAACGGCTACGTGTGTTTCGGAATATCATTAATTTTGTGAATTTTCAGATTATTTTTTGGAAAATCTCGTCTCCGGCTCTTCCGGACATTAAAAGATATAATGTAGTCGATAAGGTTATTCCTCACTTAATCAGAGGTCTATGTTCAAGCTTCGGGTATAAAAAAATCTTTACTAGGAGTGCTTCCCTTCCAATGAGACCCTATACAAGTTACAACGCGAACTTAGAATAGTATGGCTTCAATACGGTATCAGACACCGAATGAAAAAAAAAACTCTCCTATTAGTGCTTGATCAAATTTTACATGTTTAATTTAATAAGTTAAATATATTTAGTTTAATTAATAATACATGAACCAAAAACTGGACTATTACTTTAACTAAAGAACTAAACTTTTTCTTAAATCTTACTCGATGATTACAGTTTCAAATTATGTGAATAAAAGATATTGACATCACAATCTAATTTCTTTAATCTGGATTCCAATTCAGGGACAGTAAGACCTTATTTTCTTAGAGAAAAAAAAAATATAGCTCAATTATTAGCCGGTTCAAAAATGAGACAAATGACAGTGCTTTTTCTGAAGTAAGATCTTGAAAAGTTGCCATTCAACAACTTCAGTTGAGTACGTGGCAGCTCCAGAAGAGTACACGTATACATCACCTACCTTTATTATAAAAAAAATACTTAAATATTAGTCCGTGAAATTGTTTAATTTGGAACTATATTTAAGAAAAAATACTTTTAAAATTTGTGATTTAAAGTAATACTAAAATATTTATGTGACAGTAAATTACTTATTCATTAAGAGTAAAAATATAAATCTAAAAGCTAAATTATTTATAGTTATAATAAAATGATATATCTTTTTTAGATAAAATAGTAAGTACTCATTTGTTCGTAGTCAAAGCTTAGTTTAAATCCTTTAAGTAAGAAATCACGATGGAATACTAGAAAAAAGTATGAGATAACGATAAAATATACTTTAACGGATAAAAAGTGCAATAAGAAACCTCTAAGAAGCATCCAAGGATGATTGTAACTTTAGTGCAGAATTTCTGCAACAAAATAGGCAACTTGAAAACTAGCAAGTCGATCGACCCTATATGTGACCTAAGACATGAAATATATTACGTCTATTTTTTCTTGTTGGACTAAATCCTCATCACAGAACCAAAACCGCCTACTTCTCGAACTTTCGCATTAGATACTTCTAGTATAGAACCATCGAAAAACGCTATTCTTCGAATGCACACCGAATAAACTTTCAACCACTGCACTACACCCTCTATAAAAGCAAAACAATAAAATCCACTATGGAGCAAAGAAACATTTACTCAACCCTCACATGCATACAACATCCAATCATGTTATTCACAAATCAACCAAAAAACTCAAAAGCTTTAGAAGAAATGATCAAACTTCACCACACTCATGAACTCTCACCAAAGCAATGTTCTTCGTTTTTAGTCCAAGTCATTGATGCACCACTTCCTTTAGTATGGTCTTTAGTGAGAAAATTTGACAAGCCACAATGTTACAAGAATTTCATTAGTAGCTGCACACTAATCTCTGGTGAAGGTGGTGTTGGTAGTATAAGAGAAGTGAACTTAGTTTCTGGATTTCCTGGTAAAAAAAGCATAGAAAGATTGGATATTCTTGATGATGATATGCATGTAAGTGTGTTTAGTATTCTTGATGCTGATCATAGCTTCTTGAATTTCAAATCTACTATCACTTTGCATGAGGATAAACAAGAAGATCATCAAGAAAAAGAAGATATAATTGGTAATAATTACTATAAGACAGTGGCTATTCAGTCATATGTGGTGGATATACCTGAAATTAGTTGTGGAGATGATACATGTGAGGTGACTGATAATATTTTGAGATGGAACCTTAGATCTTTAGCTTGGGTTGCTGAAAATATGGATACTACTGATCAAGTTTCTTCCTTGAACTTGAACAAGAAAGAAATTGCTTGTTAGTTTTTGCTCTTTTTTTATATGATCTTTGGTCTTCCTAGCTTTTATTTATTGAATACTGACGTGTTAATTATTATCCACGCATAATGAATATCAGTATTAGATTTTCAATCTCTCTTAATCTTGACGAATAGAGTTACATAATAACTTATTGTTGGTGGAAGAATTTGTGCTAGTACTTATGGCAAATAAAATTACATAATATATTATTAATGAAAGACCGTAAAGTGTGAGATATTATTTCAAATTAATTGAGATACGTATAAGTTATTGCAATTTGGACTAAAATAAAGGTTATTCTCTTCTTCTTAATTCCTCCTTGAACTCCTTAATTCATGACCATGAAGTTAGTCTAATTTTCTTGTATTGAAGAATTATTTTAAATAAAATTGTCATAAGAAGAAATTATGGGATTAGGGATATAATATCTTTGCATAAGTTTTCAATGTTTCTCATCTAGGAGACATTAGTTTTTATGACCTTTCATTTCCAAGAAGTCAACAAGTGACAACATATGTTAATTGTTAGGGGTGTTCAAAGCATAGAAAATTCGTGAGGATATAAAATCGTGGCAAACTGATAAGGTGCACACGGATATAATGTGGTGGCTACGTGACACAATTTGACTTCATGATATCTATCATGTTAGAAAACTATACAAAGGTCAATGGTAAATAGCAGGCATCTATGCTCTTTTATTCTTTTTATTGAAAAATTAAAAATATCTTTAAATTATGTGATATTGAACAAAATTACTTGAATCAATAGTTTGATTTAAAAATGTACATACAGCTAAGAAAATAAAATAAAAAAATAATTATTATTATTTAATTGAAAAATATTTATCCTACTTTAATTCGTAGAAGATTAAGAAATAACAATTATTTTATTTTATTATGTTGTTATTGTTATCTAAATAAAAATTAATGATAAAAATACTATGATTTTATGTATACTAGTTTTCTGACACGTACATTGCACGTGATTACCAATTTCAAAAATATATGTTATAGTAAATAATAGTATTGCTTATTTAAGTGAAGATTTGAATAATAAGCTTAGCAAAAAATAATATTACAGATTCTTTTGTGAATGTTCAACGTGGATCGTCATAAATATCTCTTATTCACGCAAATCTATGAAGATGGTCAATAAAAAAAATTATTAGTTAAATGCAATAATGTATATATTTATTTCAATTTGATGAGGTTCAATTATAGTCTTATCTCACTAATATTACCTTATAAAACAATATTCACTTTGTATTTTTCTTGTCATCTAACTAGATGTGATTTGCATGTGTATTTCATGTTAAATTGTTTAGATGTCATATGAACATGTGAAGAAAACAACTACATTTTATATATTCACATATTTTCACATTTGTTGTGAGTGTTTTTTTTTTAAAAAAACTCGAAACATTTTAAAATAATATATTTTAAAGTTAGAAGATCTTGTTAACTTTGATAATACACTTGTGACATATATAATACTTTAATTTAAATACAAATACCTACCCAAATATAAATATATATTTACATTAATGAAAATATTTATCTCATAAAATTAACTATTAAATAAATAATAAAAATTAAACTAATACAAACTTCAACTGACGTTATTACGAGTCATATAAACTTTTCTTCGTCTAAAATATTGAAATATTAAGAAATAGTAAATCAGTAAACAAAAGGGCAATGTTTATTATAGTAATAATTATTTTGAAGCAAACTTCATGAGAGTTTAAATCACATAAGTAACATTGATAATAAAGTCATTATTCTGTCTTGAGCATAAAAAATAAATCGTGACAATTCTCTAAATTTTTGAAAAAGATATTCAGAAGCATATATCTACATCTCAAGCAGGGGCAGACCCACGTGGGTTCCAAGGGGTTCGGGTCGGCAAAAGCTTACACTGTATATATAAGGTAATTTTCTGTATTTATTTGGATATATATATTTGAACCCCCTTAATGACAAAGAGAAATTGATAACCCAGCGGCAGGTCCCCTTGAAATTAATCTCCATGTCGAGTGTTCCAATCTGTGTCTTAGCGTTTTAATTTTTTCTTTCTTAGTTTCAGTTCTGTTTTTTTTAGTTTTTTATTTTATAAAACATGCTAAAAGTGTGGTTTTAAACCCAAAAAAAATCAAGGCTCCGCCACTAAAACTATATACTACTACTTTGTTGAAATTTTGTTTTGTTCCCTTATTTACACGTTTATACTTTTACTTTTTTAACCCCCTGAACGAAAATTCTGGGTCTGCCACTGATCTCAAGAGAAATTGTTGACAAAAACAAATGAATTTAGACTATATCATGTTAACTTCATATATTGAAACATTACATACTAATGTATATATTAAGCAAAAAAATAATTATTATATCATCAAAATTATTTTCCTCAAGTACGTATACTTGAGGTTATGGAATATAACCTCTTAGGATAGAACGACTTACTTCATCAGAATAGTGGTACCTCATATTCCGCTAAACTTTGAACTCACTCAACAACAATAAATCACACAAAAAAATTTAAAATACAAAAAGAAGAGTAGAAGATTAAAAAGTTTGTGGTTGAAAGATGAGAGGAAGCCCTTCTATTTATAGTCAACAAATGGTAGTATGAACAAATATTTTTTGTGTCTTATCTGAAAAGTCATGACCTTTTCGAAAAGTCACAGCCCTTTGGAAAAGTCACCACTTATTAAAAAAGTCACAACTCAGCGAAAAATCACAACCCTTCAAAAAAAGCCACAACTCATCGAAAAAGTCACAACTCATCGAAAAAGTCATAACTCATCGAAAAATCAAAATCCTTCAGAAAAAAGTCACAACTTATCGAAAAAGTCACAACTTAAATTAAGAATATTATAGTAATTTAACATTTAAATTAGAAATTTATGCTTTTAAGGTAATATAGAAAATAGAGATAGATAGATTACTTATGCTATCAGTTGAAAAAAAGTGGATGAAGTTATTCTTAGTCATAATGTTAAAATGAGACTGAAGGAAAAACAAATCTCCTTATTTATTAGTTAAAGCATTAAAAAAAGGAGAAATTAGAATTTGATTATGTAATAGTAAAATATATTTAAAAGGGAAAATAGGTAAAAAGACATTTTTGACTCATTTAAATAAAATAATATTAAACATTTTGGATCAAGCTATTAATTACAAGGGCATTTTGGGATCAAATATTAATTAGAAGAATTTTTGTTCAATTTCACATAATTTAAAAATATTTTCAATTATTTTCCAATTTTTTTATGAATTGAAATAAAAATTGTCTTAAAAAAATAACGTTATTATTATTTTAGAAATATATGTTAGAAGATATAAATATATTGCTAGAATATAATTCAAGTCAATGCCTTAAATAAATATTTTCAATAGATCAAACTAATTTTGTAATATTTTGCAAAAATCTCATATTGATAATCAAACTATTTTGTCAATACTTGAATGGTTAAATATTTCTAGTATTCAAAAATCTTGTATATTTTCTAGATTAGAGAAAACTCGTTTTGGGTGTTCAGAGCCTATAGACAAATGAGTTTATCTATTTATAATTAAAAAATAAAATCATGAGTTCTAATCTATTTTTTTTTATTTTTTTAATCAAATTTGAACACAAGAGAATCACAAAATTAATTATCGAAACTTTATATTATAAAAATAATTCAAACATTTGATTTAAATAATTCCAATCACAAATTAGCCTATATAGAGATCGAAGGGACTGAATACGGTGGCTCTCACCGTCAGTCAGCTACGCCGTACGCCGTACGCCGTTCTCCATTTCCATCTCCATCTCCATCCCCATTACCGGTGAAAATCAGTCCAACTACCATCGGTTCATTCCTCTGTAACCAAAGAACCCATCTCCTTGTGGTTCGCGTTTTATCGGGTTTCCGTTTGTAACTCCGGCTCGATTTTTGAACTCCGTTTGAGATTTTTGTTTAGGTTGCCCTGCTTTGACTCGACGCAGAGTTGAATATATTGGAATTGGCTATCAAAGGTCCATTCTTTCAAACTTTGGACTGATTTATGCCTACTGTTTTATGCTTAATTTATTATTTTGGGTAAACGATTGATGTATCATCTGATTATTGAAGCATGCTGTATTTTTAGTTCATTCTCAAACTGGAAACTACTGTTTTATGCTTAATTTATTATTTTGGGTAAACGATTGATGTATCATTGGCGACAACAAGCATGCTGTATTTTTAGTTCATTCTCAAACTGGAAATAAATTTTACAAAGAACTATCGGTGTGCTGTTAGAAGAGAAGTTGGACCATGCCACCATGGAAGTTTAGTTCATAAAGTAGATGAGATTCCATGTAGCTTTAGAAAGGATAGTTTTTTCTTCTTGAGTTCACAATTAATGTTGGCATATCTAGTTATCTGAAGTTTATATCTATGTCGAAAACGCAAGGCAGAAATCAAAAGGGAAATGCAAGTATCTTATTTACAAATTGAGCAAAACAACTTGTCTATATTGTACTAGGTACATTTGGCCAGTGGCGGAGCCAGAATTTTCAACAAGGGGTTCAAAATCTTAAGAAATAGACACACGAAGTAGCCGAAGGGGGTTTGACATCTATTGTATATACCTAAAAAATTATTTTAACATGTAAAAATAATATAATTTTCTGCCGAAGGGGGTTCGGATGAACCCCTAGTGATAAGGTGGCTCTGCCACTGCATTTGGCTAATGATACTATGGGCATTTTATAAGTCAAGCTTGCACATTTTTTTGCATAGGAATGTCAGAAGTTCTTGTAGACATTTCCTTCCAACCTTAAAAATTAACAAATTCGACAAATCAATTCTAGGAATGCAACAATATCTTCTGAATTGATAACCCTGAAAAGATTGCATACCTGACTCTTCTATTTCTTGGAACTTCAGCTCAATCAATAGCATTTCATCAATTCATTTCGATCTACTTGTAAGTCTGCAAATTCTTTTCCTTTGGATTTGAAGTGTGCAGAATTAACTCTTTGTTAGTAGTATCTGTAGAATCAGTCTTTTTCAGAGAGTCAATTAGTATCTCCATGAAGAAAATGTTATCTTGAAAAAATTTCTCAGCTATACAATGTCAATGGCTGTGACGAGTATCTGTGCACAACTATTTTCTCTTTTGGATTACATAGTATCACCAATCCCTCCTAAAACAAGTAATAGTACAACTCCATGAACCTGTCCTACCACAATTGGAATCCATTTCTTCCATAAGTACAATGACCTGCCAGTACTGTTCGAGGTCGATAGGCTTACTTCTAGAGGGATTGAACTCTACAAACATCCAAATATGATCAAACTTGCCCACTTGATGTGCATTATAAATTACTCAAAGAGAGGAAACCCATCTTGGCTTATAATTGGCCTCGTATGTTCAGTCCTCCATTCAATTCCTTTAAACCGTTCTTTGAAGTTATGCCTGGATTAGTAATTTTGGGAGTAGTAATTTAGGGATTAGAAATGCAAGGATTGCATAATGCAGGGATTATGATGTTTAGTTTAATATTTTACATATTATTATACAATGTATAATTTAAAATATTTTATTTTTTAAATAACTTAAAAAATTTCTTACTTTTGTGAGGGTTAATTTTGTCATTTCTAATCCATTACTAATATCCATGCCCAACTTGTTTGGGACTGAAGCGTTGTGTTTCTGATATCCACATTCTTATTTCACATTCTATCCGGCATAAAATAATACGTAAATTCCCGCATAACTTAAGCAGGTATTATTTGTGAGGAAAACAAAAAGGAGCAACCAATGGTCTATCAATTAATGCTGTTTTGTACATGGAATTTAATTATTCTCAAATCCAGACCGAACGTTTTATAAGCTTATGCTGATCATTTTTATCTGTGGGTATTAGCTCTTCCAAAGCCCAAACCAAATGACCCCTTAGATTCTGAGCAAACATAAGATATCCTTTGTTTCTATCTATTTTGTACTAATTCTAGAATTTAATCATGTAGTGAAACGCTCTGGATATCTCCATGTTTTTTATGGTCTATGTTGCTTTGCAGTGTTCTGGATTTTAGTTGCTTATATGTTAATTGGGTTTCTTTGTTGAATAACTAGTATAAGATGACTAGTCTAGTTATTAGAATGTGTTAGCAATTCCTCTGGTTGACCAGTTCCTTCATTTGATGAGTAGCAGGACTATTTCACGGCATTTCTCCTCTCTTGCATAGCACTACAGTGGTAGAACAGAATTCGGAAGAAATGATGCTCTCAGGTTCTGCATTACCTTATATTTCTCTTCATCCTTCTTTAAAAATACACTTTTTCTAATAGGGCTGAGCTCCAGGAGTGTGTCAGTGTATGAGAAGCAATAGACAACTTCTAACTGTCAAATTATACAAGTGTCGTCTCATCCTGATACCAATAATAGATTTTAGATTTTAAGAGATGTGGGGTGTTCCTCAGTGCAGTGTGCAAAAGAGCGTTGGATCTCTATCAAAGTGCATATCATCCATCACTCTGAAAGCTCTTCCTATTTTTATATAAACAAAGAAGCAAGTGTAAGCCCCGTGGACGTGTCATTATGATATTTACTTTTCCTAAGAGCTATTATTTAGCAGATAAAATTTGTTTAATGTTCTCAAAAATCTACTTCTGTCAATTTCTGAGGTCCTTATTTAATAATTTGTCTGAGTGGCATAAGAGCTCATAACATTGCTATTTATTTTGCTTAGCCATAGTTCTGTGTTTTTCAGTGTTCAACATGGGAGCTCAGCTTCAACTAAGAGTAATAGGCATTCCCAGAAATCAAGGTAAGTGGAAGTTTGGATTATATGGGCATTCTTTGCACTTATAGCACCCCCACCCTAAACGGAAATAGAAAAAGAAAAAAGAGAGTAAACCTTTGTTAGAAATAATCTGTAATTTCAGAAGACAATAAGTAGGAAATTGTAGGACCTTGAATTCTCTTAAGAAAGCATGTGATGTGAAGACCAAGGAGAAATCACCACAACTATTACTTATTCTGTTTGTCCTTTTTAACGTTTTTCACACAAGCAAAAGAGAGAAGCGAACCAGGACTGGGATAGGAAGCTTACACCTAAATATTTATTCTCGAGTTAAGCTTTGGTTTTTGATTGCTTGCGTTTTCCACTATTTCATTTTTTCTCGAGTTTTTTAAATCTTACAGAGAAAGTTTTCCTTTTTGACCTTCTCATATTCTATTTCTTATTACCAATATGTGGAAAGATGCAAATTTGCAGTTGATAGGTGTTTTGAAAGTAACTTATTATGATTTTTCCTTAATATTCTTTTAAAAGTGGTACAGAGTTCTAGTTGAAGTACAATATGATAGAAATGATACATCATTCTTTTGCCAAAGCTTCTTTTTACAGGTCTATTCGATGTAAAAGTATACACTACAAATAGAGCACGACTGAGGACTTCCTCCAGGAACAGATTTATGTGCACCTTAAATCAGTCAGCACGGGTCTCGGCTCAAGCAGAGCAAAGAGAAAGTAGGACTTTAGTCAAAATGTGTGGAATTACATCAGCTAGAGATGCTGCTCTTGCAGCAGAAGCTGGAGCCAATTTTATTGGTATGATCATATGGCCTAACTCAAAACGTTCCGTTTCACTTTCTACTGCAAAGGAAATCTCGAAGGTTGCACGGGAATATGGAGCTCAGCCAGTTGGTGTGTTTGTAGATGATAATGCTGACACAATACTAAGGGCCTCAGATGCAGCAGACCTTGAATTGGTGCAGGTGAGAAACCGTCTATCTTTCACCATTATGAATTTCTTGTTTTCAATACTCAAATCCACAACACATTCAAATTGAGCAGCTTCATGGAAATGGTTCTCGAGATGTTTTTCCAGTTCTAGTCGGAGAGAAGCGTTTAGTATATGTTCTTCATGCAAATGAAGCGGGAGGCCTTTTGAACTCTGTTTCAGATGAGGAGTCTTCTCTGGTTGATTGGATTCTAGTGGACAGTGCCAAAGGTGGCAGGTACAGTTCCTCCTTATGTATAAACCTGCCATTGGCATGGCTGTGTATGTAATCATGCACTCTCTTTTAGACTAAGCTTATTCCCACCCCATATGGAGCTAATTGACAAAGATGTAACTCCATTTGGTTTGTATGATTAAACTCCTTTTTTGGATTCATTCGGTCCAAAACAAACTTGTTTATTGTAACTTTAGCATGACCGAGACACTGAATCTGATGAGATGGGAATCAAACCACTAACAGGACTGACATACTTTTGCAGTGGCAAAGGGTTTAATTGGGCTCAGTTTAAGCTACCATCAATTAGAAGCAAACATGGATGGCTCTTGGCTGGAGGAATTAACCCGGAGAATGTTTGTGAAGCTCTTTCTGCTCTTAAACCCAATGGAGTGGATGTCAGTAGTGGCATATGCGGACAGGATGGCATCCAAAAGGATGAGTCCCGGATACTATCATTCATGAATGAAGTGAAATCTTTACGCCTTTAGTTAAATACTGAATAATGGCAAATTCCCTAGTGCATGCAGATTGTTAAATCAACTGCAATGTTAGTGCTGATCCTCTTGTAATTTCTCAGCTGATTAGTGTAGGCCAGGACTTGTATCTCATGAGAGATGCATCAAGTTTGTATTTGAAAATCAAGTAACATTACATACTTTCGTTTTGCAATGGAATCAAAGTATTTTGTCATGTCAGATAACTAGTGAAGTCACAGTCACGTCTTGATTTTTGGCACGTAAAGAGGAGCATGGATGCTCCAATGAGGAGTTGCGAGAGATTGACAGTAGTAAGTTTGAGGAGAGGTAGATTGAGGAAGAATTGGAGAGAGGTGATTAGACATAACATAATAGATTTTTAGCTCATTGAGGATATGATCCTAGATAGGAGAGCATGGAGGTCAAGGATTATAATAGACTGTTAGTAGGTAGTTGATTGTTTCTCTCTTTCTAGTGCTAGAAATTAGAATTGGTTTCTAGTATGAAGCACCTATGCATTCCTTTACCAGTATTATTATGAACATAGCTAGTTAATTTAGGGTTATCGTCGAGTAGAAAGTGATTTAATTTGAAGCGATTGAAATTTATATTAATCGATCATAAAGAAAAAGAATCGTATTATTTATTTCGATTAAGCTTCTTTCCTTTTAATTTGGAATGACGAATATGAGCTGCATGAAACGTCTGAGAGGTCAAACTTGACAATCACATCTTTGATGTTCATCAAACTTAGAAACAAGTTAAATAATTTAAAAAAATTTAATACAAATAAAATAATAGTATCCTTAATTTTTTTGTTAAGAGCCATGATTTCATTCATCTCATTATATCTTTTAACGATATGATAACCTTTTGTCTCATTTGATACTTGAATACGTGTTATCACTTCCACGTGTTCATGTTAACGATTTTTAAAGAATCGTTAAAATCATCAGGATTTTATTAATATCAGCTTAGTGATTAACCAAGTAATTGATTTGGTAGTTGAGAATAAAATATCAAGTGGGAGGTCACATGATGATGATAGTAGAAGTAGTGCTCAACTATTCCATCCTTGCATTTCTTTACGTTGAAAATTACATTTGTGTCCGTTAGTTTTCAACCAGCATATCCCATCATCTTTTTTAGTCAGTCTAAAAAAGAATGACATATTTATATCTTTCATAACAATTTAATTTTAAAATATCTATTTCATTCTTAATAAAATGATTTATAACCCGTAATTACACAAACATCTTCTTTCTTAAACTTCTGTCAAATCAAACTAATTAATTTAAAACAGAGAGATTACTATATTTTATTAGGACCGATTATATGACAGTTAAATAATTATTGCAATTAATAAGAAAGTAAACTGAAAACGACCCAAAATAAAGAGAAAAAGAAAGTGTGGGCCTTGGCTCTGTGAGCTTATGACAATTGAAATCGACAATAATTAAGTATGAAAATAGATCGAATTCATACTTCAGTAACTTTAGTTTTCAGCATTTCCACAGTGAGGTAAACAAAAAATTTTGTTATCAACATTATTTATATGTAATCAAGTAAAACACTATATATAAGGATAGGAGGGGGGCCTCGGGCGTGGCAAGGGATGGAGTGGTCAAGGTACAGGGGTTGTGGGGGCGTTGGATGGATGGAGACAGAGGCGAACCCATGATTTGAAGTCTTTGGGTGGACCAATATTATTTTAGTTCAAATATGATTCTAAAAATAGTGAAATAAACACTTTGGTTAAATTCGAACCCAGGCCTCGCGAGTGAATCCTCTAGCTTGTATGAGTAGCACGATGGCATTCCTATGCTTTTAATAGAATTGGAAAATGGGAGGAAGAATTCAACACATCCAGCTGGGAGGTCCAATGCTTATCAAGGAAATAGTAATTGCATTTGTGTTGGCATTTGCAGCAGGTGGTGCTTTTAAGATGTGGCATTGGGATATGCAGTTCTATCACCAACTTGACAGAGGTGAAGCCACTCTTGTTGCCCATCACTCTAACCTTATCAATAATCATCACCTATCTCCTTATTTTCTTCTTTTTTTTCTTTATTAGTATTTGTATTCATGCGTATTCTGTCTTAATTCAAATAAATTTCATGCGAAAAAAAAAAGTAACTTTAGTTTAAATATAAATATTATATTTATTTTGAAAAAATTATTTAATATGTTTAGATTGTTAAAAAAATAAAATTCTTAACTCATAAATTAAATTTTATGTAATTCAAAGTAAGAAAAATATCTTATAATTCACCTATTACCAAAAGTTATAATAGAACAGTAAATGTTTCTTTTATTTTTAAATAAAGACTTCAAATTTCAACTCTATAAGTTAATATTTTACCTCAAAATAAGATTTCTCAATATGAATTGAAATTAGTTAGATTTCAAAATGAATATCAATGATTGTATGAGAAAATGAAAAATAAACTTATATAATTATGCATATTATCTTTTAAATTAATTTAATCGATTCATTGATTCAGATCTCAGGTCGAACCTCTTACCAACTAACACATGAACCATTACAATTTACAAGTATTTATGCTATATATAATGATATTGTAAAGAATTTTAATATTACTACAGTAATTTAATTTATTATAGCCAATTACTTATCATTACTTTTGAGTTCAGTCCATTCTTATTAGACAGAGTTATTTTTAAGTCATGCATTTGTTTAAGTGTATTCTTTGTGTTGTTACTATATTCTTAATATTATTTTGTTATCTTAGGTATACTCATGAATAATTCAAAGTTTTAAAATATTGCCCTTACACTTATGGTGGAAGCCACGCAGAGATATATTAGACTTTTTTAAAAAATTATTCAAGAATATATTTGAACTTTTAAAATTGTTTAATGGTGTATTGAACCTTTTCAACTTCTTTTTATTGTTATTTTAAAACAATTCAATTTGTCAAGTGCATACTATAAATTATTGTATTTGCTATTAAACTATGCAAGATTTATTTTTTCTACAATGAAATACATATAATTATGTATGACCCCTTTTCCCTTGATTTTGATTAAAAGTTGGAGAAAAGAGCTTTCAAATAATTTAAAGGTAAAGTTGACCCATTTTAAGAAACATACTTTTGAGTTTGGAGATAGTGTTTATCCTAAAAAGTAATGAAGGGTTAAATTAACCTATTAGGAATCATTTAAAAATATTATTGACCTTTTTCTCAAAAAATGAAACTTAAATTTTATAAAACGTTTTAATTTACCTTTAATACAAAATTTGATTAAGAAAATAAAATAAAAATAAAAATTTACTAAAAAAAAATTAATTTTATAACCTTAAACATGTTACTAAAAATTGGACCTATTGGTCAAAAAATAAAATAAAATGAAGAGATGAGTAGGAGAAACTACATATGCAAATTACAGTGGATGCGACAAATTCAGCTTTGCGCCTGCGATTTGCGAAAATGATAATCCGAGCAGTAGCACTGCCACCAACAGTAACTCATCACAACCAGCTTCTCTGGTTTCAATTTGATAAGTACTATTCCGATTGTTACCAATAATCATCGCAATTGACGTTGTTCAAATCGACAGCGAAGTTGGACGAAATATAAAATTTCTTTGTGAGTATAGTTTTACTGTTTTTTATGTCTACTGCTGCAATTTTGCCATTTCTTCGATTAGTTAAAAGTCCGACGAACTGAGCCGATTTGGGGATCGCCTCCCTCGTTTGGTCCCGGTTTGCCCAAGCTTATTTTTCTCTAAAAGTGTTTTTTCTTTTTTAAAAAAAAGAAGAGTTGTTTGACCAATTTTTTGTAAACAAAGGAACTACTTTTGGGTAGCAAAAGCTATCTGAGTTTGAAAAAGTAGCTTTTTCGATTAAAAAAATCAAACTAGTAGTATATTTTAATGGCTGATCAAAATAATTTTTAAATTTATTGGTCTAACACGAATAAATTGTTACTAAAAAAGTGAAAAAATAAAATAAGTTCATTTAAGAAGTTTTACCGTCATACACCAGCTCAATTTGATTGGAGTTGGTAGGCCTTGAAAATCGATATATCAATGTACGTTGTATGCTGTCTTCAAAAAATCTTCACTAGGTTCCACCTTCCATGTCCCTTCTCAAAAAGGAAAAGATACCAAAAATCAATGAACATAAAAACGTGTAATCAATTGAAAAAGACATACATTTATCTCCACTTAGTTTGGTGAGCTATGATATTTTGTTCTTTCTTACTGTGCTGTTGTCTCAACTTGTTCTATAATTGCCCAAGATCTATCTATAGCTAGCAGCAGAAGCACATGCTTTTGTTTTTCTTTTTTCAATTTTCTTAGGAACACATGCTTTACATGGACAATAGGAGTATCTCTTAACTTAATCTACTCTACTCATTGATCCCTTACCTACCAACACATGCACCAGTACAATTTACAAGTAGTTTTAAGTTATATACAATATCAGTGTAAATAATTTCCATACTATCACTGTAATTTAATTTAAAAAGTTTACCTTTAAGTGAATTGTATTGCGTAGTTAGTGCATAGAACTTCTTAAGCTTCAAATAAATTAGAGTTCTTTCAAATAGTTGAGCATCACATCAATGAAATAGAGTCATTACATGGAAAAAGTTATCATCTAAGCTTCCAAATATGCTTAACTTATTTTAGTCACCAGCTGTATATGGGGACAAGCAATAAATATTTGAATTTACTGTGAGTAGCTCAGTTCATTGATATATAATAACCAGAAAATGCTTTTAATTTAAAATATCCTCACCTACCAGCTACTGTCCTCTTCTTTCTTAAACAATTCTATTATTCTCATTTCTGAAATCTGAACAACAGCTAACTGTTCCCACAATTCTTCCTATCATATCATGGCATTGACTGATTGGGAATCTCATTAAAAGGCGCCTTGTCCAAAAAAGTAGTACTAGTATGTATATAAATTGAAGTGCCTCAAAATCATTTCATGGTTGAGGTTAATGAAAAAATGAAAAATGTAAAAGGAACCTATCTTCTCTTTTTTCTTTTTCTGATCTTAGCTGCTTTATCATCTCAAGTTTATAGTATTTCTAGTGATTTCTCAATATTAGACAGATCAAATGATTTCATATCAGATGAAAGTGTTTTCCAACTTTTCCAAGAATGGAAACAGAAGCATGGGAAAGTTTACAAGGATGAGAAAGAGGAAGAAATGAGGTTGGAGAAGTTTAGATGGAATGTGAAGTATATAGTGGAAAAGAACTCAGAAAGGAAGTCAGCTTCAGAACATTTCGTTGGTCTGACCAATTTTGCTGATATGAGCAATGAAGAGTTCAGGGAAGTTCATGGTTCAAAGATAAAGATACCCTTTAACAAGAGAAAGATTATTCAGATGAAGAATGTGGAAGAAAAATCAACTTCAATTTCTTGCGATGCTCCTCCTTCGAGGGATTGGAGGAAACACGGGGCTGTCACCGAGGTCAAGAACCAAGAACAATGTGGTAAGCTCACTTGTGCTCTTTTATCCTTTTCAATTGATCACGTTACCAATAGCTAGATGCTGTTTTTTCTGTCTGCCAGTCAGTTGACCTGAACACTTGAATGGTAAGGGTTGGGAATAGAGTTTCTGCTTCACTTTTCTCTTTAAGTCTCTTACGTATTACCTTGTTGCTTATTGAATTCATGAGGTGGCTGTGAAGTTTACAGCATAGTACTGAGAAATAAATGGTGCTTCTATTCAGTAGATCGTTGGATAGTAAAAAAGGAAGTTGAACGATTTGAAAATTCAATTGACAGGAATAAAAAGGGTAATTCAGCGGATAATTCTGTTTCTCTCATATTATAGCGCACAAGGGTGCAGTTGTTTCTTTAATTTGATTTGCCAATGATGGAATTTAAAAACTAGCACTGATAACTAGGTTCCACCCGGAAGATGTGCTATTGGATCTTCCTTCTCTTCACTTATGTAACACAGAATGGGAAAATGAAGATATGAATACCTTCTTTTAAGCGTCAAGCTTGACTACAATCTTGCTCAGGATCCAACAAAAATAATTTTTTTCTGCTTTGTTTTAGAGAAATATTTCTTCATGTATATATCCTGGTTTTTTGAGAGGTTCGTATACCTGTACTTTGTGGTGGTTTATAAATAGCGCTGGAGGCCACATCGAAGTTAGACTGACTTACATTAGGTACTTGTTTTATATCTGGGCAGCTTCTATGCATTATGTTCCTTGACACAAGTAGTGTCAAAGGCAGAATAGGCAATCTGCTAATTGAGCTAATTTACAGTCTAAATGGAATAGTATGGGTGTTTCCTGCTTTGCGACTTCGTGACAAATAAGGAGCAATCCAGATGATCCATGGTCTTTAAATCTATGTTAGTGGAGTAATTACCTTGATTTCTACTAAACATTTGCAGGAGCTTGCTGGGCATTTTCAGCTTGTGGAGCCGTGGAGGGAATAAATGCAATAATTACTGGTGAACTTATTAGCCTTTCTGTCCAAGAACTTGTCAATTGTGATAATTCAACCAATACCGGCTGTTGTGGTGGATATATGGACCCTGCTTTTGAGTGGGTGATCAATAATGGCGGCATTGCTTCAGAAATTGATTACCCATACACGGCCTCTCAAGGCGCATGCAAGATTACCAAGGCATACAGATCAATTTCATATCAAATCTTCTGTTCATTTTCAAAATAATATCCTTCTTTAAAAGAAAATCTTTGATCAGTGTTCCTCAACAGGTGAACCACAAGGTTGTAACAATTGATGGTTACCGAGATGTTCCACAGGAGGAAACTGCCCTTCTTTGTGCTGTTGCTCACCAACCTGTCAGTGTTGGCATCGATGGAACAAGTGCTGATTTTCAGCTGTATAGAGGGGTACTCTTATCTTTTACTCCTTTTTCACACATTTCTTTGCCCTTTCTTCTCTCAAGAATCCCAAAATGACGTGCACTTTGTTCTATTGTATTATGGAAACATGCAGGGAATCTATGATGGAAGTTGCTCTAGTAGTCCAGATGATTTGAGCCACGGAGTACTAATAGTAGGTTATGGTTCCGAAGGAGACAATGACTACTGGATAATCAAGAATTCATGGGGTACATCATGGGGAGTGGAGGGGTATGGATATATAAGAAGAAACGGTGATTTGCCATATGGTGTTTGTGCCATTAATTCATTGGCTTCTTATCCGACGAAGGAATTATCTTTTGTATTATCTCCTTATCCATCTCCGGCCGTTCAACCACCTCCTCCACCATTCCCTCTGCCCACTCCCCCATCTTCAGCCATTCCACCACCTCCTCCATCCCCTTCTCCCCCTCCACCACCTTCTGCACCTCCTCCATCTACTTCTCCCCCTCCACCACCTTCTGCACCATCTCCGTCTCCGCCCCCTCCACCACCTTCCGAGCCATCTCCTTATCCGTCTCCAGCCATTCCACCACCTACTCCACCATCCCCTCCACCCCCTCCACCGCCTTCTGCACCATTTCCTTATCCGTCTCCGATCGTTCCACCACCTCCTCCACCATCCCCTCCGCCATCTCCAGACGTTCCACTATTCCCTCCACCACCTCCGCCCCCATCCCCTCAACCACCTTTTGCACCATATCCTTATCCATCTCCAACCGTTCCACCACCTCATCCACCATCCCCTCCTCCACCCTTACCTTATCCGTCTCCAGTTGTTCCACCACCTCCTTCACCATTCCCTCCACCACCTCCTTCACCTTCCCCTCTGCCCCCTCCACCACCTCCTCCGCCATCCCCTCCACCCCCTCCACCATCTCCACCACCCCCTTCGCCCTCCCCACCACCCCCTCCACCATCTCCACCACCCCCTTCGCCCTCCCCACCACCTCCTCCACCATCCCCTCCACCACCTCCTCCACCATCCCCTCCACCACCTCCTCCACCATCCCCTCCACCACCTCCTCCGCCATCCCCTCCACCCCCTCCACCATCTCCACCACCCCCTTCGCCCTCCCCACCACCTCCTCCACCATGCCCTCCTCCACCATCCCCTTCGCCCCCTCCACCTCCTCCGCCATCCCCTCCACCCCCTCCACCATCTCCACCACCCCCTTCGCCCTCCCCACCACCCCCTCCACCATCTCCACCACCCCCTTCGCCCCCTCCACCTCCTCCGCCATCCCCTCCACCCCCTCCACCATCTCCACCACCCCCTTCGCCCTCCCCACCACCCCCTCCACCATCTCCACCACCCCCTTCGCCCTCCCCACCACCTCCTCCACCATCCCCTCCACCACCTCCTCCACCATCCCCTCCACCACCTCCTCCACCATGCCCTCCTCCACCATCCCCTTCGCCCCCTCCACCTCCTCCGCCATCCCCTTCACCCCCTCCACCATTTCCACCAGCCCCTTCACCCTCCCCACCACCTCCTCCACCATGCCCTCCTCCACCATTTCCACCAGCCCCTTCACCCTCCCCACCACCTCCTCCACCATCCCCTCCACCACCTCCTCCACCATGCCCTCCTCCACCATTTCCACCAGCCCCTTCACCCTCCCCACCACCTCCTCCACCATGCCCTCCTCCACCATTTCCACCAGCCCCTTCACCCTCCCCACCACCTCCTCCACCATCCCCTCCACCACCTCCTCCACCATGCCCTCCTCCACCATCCCCTTCGCCCCCTCCACCTCCTCCGCCATCCCCTCCACCCCCTCCACCATCTCCACCACCCCCTTCGCCCTCCCCACCACCCCCTCCACCATCTCCACCACCCCCTTCGCCCCCTCCACCTCCTCCGCCATCCCCTTCACCCCCTCCACCATTTCCACCAGCCCCTTCACCCTCCCCACCACCTCCTCCACCATCCCCTCCACCACCTCCTCCGCCATCCCCTCCGCCCCCTCCACCACCTTATCCAAAACCAAGTGAATGTGGAGGCTGGTATTATTGTCCTGAATATCAAACATGTTGTTGTGACTTGTATTTCTTTGGCATATGCCTCCGTCACAAGTGTTGTCCTTATGAGAATGGTGTTTGCTGTCATGGATCAGACTACTGCTGCCCAACTGAATATCCCATTTGTGATGTTTATGAAGGGGTCTGCCTCAAGGTACTACTACTTATCAGACGCTTTGTAACATCCAAACTATAATAAGCAAATTTATTCCTTTTGTTGGAGTCATTAGAAAGAAAATTCTTATAATCCTATTGGCTTTTGATCATTCCACCTCTTTCTTCTTATTTTTCTTCTCTTTCAAACCTTGGTAAAAGTTAGTCATCTCTTATACCCTAATATTCTGAAGTGACTTTATGCAAATCCTTATTAACATTTAGGACTCGAATTTGCACCATCTAAGCAAGAGAGTAATAGTGGTACTTTGGAGTGAGAAAATATTTGGGACGAATATGATATTGGAATTAGGACCTGTTTTTCCCCTATTTGGGAAGCTAAGGCCTAAATACCTGGAAATTGTAAGTCCTAAACATCATCTGTATCCAAAATCTTGCTAGAGCATCTGCTATTCCCCTCTCAGCCTGTTTGTATCTGTTCATGACCAAAATCTCCTAACGAGAGCCCTTCAATCTTCAATACACCAAGAGGATGCAAATATCTTCTTTGATCTCGTAGTCTTCACTGACTTACCTATTTCTGAGTTTCCAAAGGGAGCATTTACTAGAGAGAAAGCTACGATGCCAAGGGAGTTAAGTGCCAGGGAACTCATAGGGTAGATCACTCTTGATATTTTGCTTGTCTCAAAAAGTTGAGAATTTAATCAACACACAAGGTTAAGAATAAAATAAATTCTGTTGGATATCTTTATATTATTTTCTTTCATACTTCTTTTCCTTATTGCAGAGATTTGATGATACTGTGGGAGTGGCAGCAAAGAAGAGAAGAATGGCCCAATACAAGTTACCATGGAGTACAAGCACTAAAGAAACAGAGGAGATGGGCCAAACTCTGAAATGGAAGAGGAAGCATGTTGCACCAATGTTCTGAGTTAAATAATTGTTATCATGGCATTCGAAATGTTGATAAATAAATGTAAATCTGGTTCTAACACCAAGAATTTTGATGAATAAAACTGTTTAGCTGAAACTACAAGTACAATTCCTCAATGAATCTTGCTTGAGCAAAAATATGAATTTCTTGAAATACAGAACTAGAAAGAGAGTTATGTAGCCTGAAAATTCGACCTGTTTCGTTTGCAGCTGCACTATACCTTCTGGTGAAGGTGGTCTTGGATGTCTTTTAACCATTTTCTTTTTATGTACTTGAAAGAAAATGGTGTCTGTGGAGGAGGATACAAAAATTTATAGAGGTGAATGTTAATTGCTTCTGGCTTCGGGTAAAGTAAACATCGAGTGATTAGATTGCATGATGTATGTACATATTATTTTCAGTATATTTGATGGCTACCTAGTAGCACGATCTTCAAATCCATCATCATTTGGCATGAGTATAAGAAGAAGACTAAGTCTATTGAGTTTTATGTTGTGTACATTCTTGAAAATAGTTCTGAAGAATAATAAACTTGCATTATGATTGCCAAACTCTGGAGTTCCTTCAAATTCAGATTGAAGGAACAGAAAAGGCTGCTTGTTACTTGTTGATATGACATTATGACTATATGGGAAGGGGGAAAAAAATTCTTTATATACATATCTAATATATTTTTCACTAAAAAGGTTGTAACTTATAATACATGTATGCAGATTCTTATGCTGTGACATACTCTGAGAGTACAACTTTTTTCAATTTTTGGTGTGTCTAGTTTTATTTTAAAAGGACTTATATTAGAAAATATGGTATCTCACGTAATTTACTTTGCATAATCTATTACAAATGGGAGATACAATGAAACCTCTCTATAACAACGTCATTTTGTTCCAATATTGTTTGATTGCTTTAACTTAATGTTGTTATAAAGATATATAATATAACGTAACATGAATCATGATTCCATAGAAAATATGACTATTATAGAGTGGTCTGATTGTATAGCAAAATTAGTTATACAATGTGATACAATATTAGCAAACTGATCAAATGTACACTAAATTAACAATACTACCAAGCTAATCAAATGTAACACTAAATTTAATTTTGCCAGCTTAGCCCAATTGCCTTGCAGAGACCAGCATAAGATATGAAGATGTTATTAGCTTGTAAAATTATATTAATATGTCAGCAAACAATATATTTACTCTTTTTTCACAAAATTTAGAATATTATTGTTTAGAATCATTTATTCCAACTAAGTTTGAAATATATATACATCTAAAGGTTAGTTATATCTTTAATAAATATATATATATATATATATATAAATTTAATCTTGAAATTGCCATTTTAGTATAGTACACCTACAACTCAATCATTCATCGCGATTAGATTTCACATTACAATATTCTAATTCTGGTTGCATAGTGTTGCTTAATTATTAGATACTAAAGGCCTAAAAAGAGATCACTTTTGGATAAACTAAAGGTTAAATAATTTTTATTTTGCTTTTATATATCCATCGAAAATATAAAAAAATTCACATTTTTTTTCTTGATATCGCTTCTCTCCTTTCTTTACCTTAGTGGCATAATTCATGTCAATTTTTTCTTATTTATCTTACACAAATTATCTCCTAGACATCAAAATTCACTATTTAGGCAATCATAATAATTAAACCAACAAAAAAACCTTGGTAGCTAATATAAATATGTACATTTATGCCAAACACATACGTTATAGAATACTCCGTATTTTATTTCATATTTTATAGAATGGATAAAGAGAACTATATGAACTACCAAATAGAGATTTTAATTTGTCGAGATTGTGATTTGTGTGCAAGGAAAATTGAAGTAATCTTCAATAATAGTAAGTAGGGAAAAGGCTCAAATATGCCATCGAACTTTCAGAAAAGGCTCATTTATGCCATCCGTTAAAAGTTTGGCTCATCTATGCCATTACCGTTTAAGAAAAGGTTCATTCATGCCATTATTTTTTAACGGTGGTTTTACAAAACCATTTTTTACACGTGGCCAATTATAATTCAGCCACGTCATTATTTTTTTTATAATAAAAA